GGTTTTCTAGTTCCTCTTCTAAGCACTGTATCCTAGGTTCTGCTGCTAAGACTTGTAGTCCCCCACTTCCTGCTCTCTTCAGCTATCCTCTTCTCCATTATCTTGCCAAGCTCTTCTATCTTCCTTCCCCATTCTTCTTCCCTTTTTTTGAGCTCTAACTTCTAATCTTTCCTCCCAGGTTCTTCCCTCCCAGGTTCATCCACCAGACCTCTGGTTTTCCACCCTCTCGGGTAACCCATTTTTTTTTTTTTTTACCACAAGAAGAAGCTTATGTATTTTACCACACAGAGAAGCTTATGTATTTTCAGGGTGTGTGGGGGAGGGAAAAGGCTAGAGGAGAAACAAAAGGGGGAGAGAGAAAGGGTAGAGAGAGAGGAGGGTGGGGGGTGAGGGAAAAGGCTAGGGGGGAGAGAGAGAAATGAGAGGGCAGAGAGAATGGGTAGAAATAGGGAGACAGAGAGAGGGGGTGAGGGAAAGGCTATGGAAGAGAGAGAAATGAGAGGGAGGGGGAAGAAAGATAGAGAAGAGAGGAGGGAGGGGGAGGGAGGGAAGGAGGGGAGAGAGAGAGAAGAGAGAGAGAGAGAGGAGAGAGAGAGAGAGAGAAGAAGAGAGAGAGAGAGAGAGAGAGAGAGAAGTGAGTAGAGAGCATGGTGGGGAAAGGCTATGGGGGAGAGAGAGAGGGTGGGGAGAAAGGTATGGGAGAGGGAGAGAGAGAGGAGGGTGAGGGAAAAAGGCTATGGGGAGAATGAGAGAAATGCAAGGGAGAGGAGAGAGGAAGGGTGGGGAAAGGCATGTGGGAGAGAGTAGGAGGGGGAAAAGGTTATGGGAGAGGAGAGAGAGGAGGAAAGACAGGGAGAGGGGAAGAGAGAGAAGGAGAGAGGGATAGAGAGAGGAGAGAGAGAGGGGAAGGAGAGGGGAGAGAGAGAGGGGGGAGAGAGGAGGAGAGGGAGAGAGAGAGAGAGGGGAGAGAGAGGGAGAGAGAGAGGGAGGGAGGGAGAGAGAGAGAGAGGGGAGGGGGAGAGAGAGGGAAGGGACGAGGGGTAGGGGGGTATGCATGGGGCAGGGTTAGAGTATGCTGGCTGAGAGAAGAGGGATAGAGAGAAAAGTAGAAGAAAAGGGGAGAGAGAGAGAGAGAGAGAGAGAGAGAGAGAGAGAGGGAGGAGAGAGAGAGAGAGAGAGAGGAGAGGAGAGAGAGAGAGAGAGAGAGAGAGAGGGAGAGAGAGAGGAGAGGGAGAGGGAGAGGGAGAGGAGAGAGAGAGAGAGAGAGAGAGAGAGAGAGAGAGAGAGAGAGAGAGAGAGAGAGAGAGAGAGAGAGAGAGAGAGAGAGAGAGAGAGAGAGCAACCTCCTTGAGACAATCTCAAGACCAATGGCAGAGTTTTTTGACTAACACTCACTACTTTGTGACCATCAATATGGTTTCAGGAAAGGTTACTATGCTGCTGATCTGTTGTTAAACCTCTCCACTAAGTGGCACCAGTCACTGGATGAATCCAATGTCAGCTGTGTGGTAGCACTGGACATTGCTGGTGCTTCTGACCGGGTGTGGCACCAGGGCCGCTTAGCAAAACTACAAGCTCTGGGAATTGCAGGCTCTACGCTATGTCTCCTCGGTGATTACCTTCATGGTTGATCTCTAAGGGTAGTTCTCAATAGAACAGAATCAGCAAGACATCCTAATGGGGCAAGTGTTCCACAAGGAAGCGTGCTGGAACCATTGTTATGGAATGTCTATTTCAATGACATTCATCTCATCCCAGAATCCCATGCATGTATGCAGACGACTGTACACTCACATTCACTTATCCAAGAGAAGAAATGCCAACTGCTCTAAGCTACATCAATCACCAGCTAAGAGCTATATCAGCTTGGGGAAATAGATGGCAAGTAATATTTGAACCTGAGAAAACACACTATGATGGTAATGCCAGTGCAGTAGTAAGGATGAATGGGAGGGTGCTGGCACCTGGGGAAGAAGTTGATATCCTTGGGGTGAAATCTGACTCCAAACCGACCATGAAGAACCACATTGTAAACCTTGCAAACAAGGCAGCCAGGAAGCTTACAGCACTTCTCCATATCTTGCATCTGCTTGACAATAGGGGATGCAAGATTCTATACGAGGCACAAGTATGCTCACACCTGGAGTATGCTCCACTTTCTTGGCTTGCCTGCCCCCCCTCTCATCTGCAACTACTTGACAGAGTAGAGAACAGAGCAAGATGTCTCATCTCTTACTTGGACCAATCCTGGATAGATCTGTCATTTCAGCAGAGCCTTCAACACAGGAGGGATGTGGGTTGCCTTACTGTTATGTACAAGGCCAATATTGTCAAAGTACCACACTTGGATCCACTTCGAGGACTTTGTGAAGCAAGCTTCTATACCACAAGACGTACAGAAAGCAGCAACTTCACTCTGGCTGTACCCTTCTCCAGAACATCACTTCATCTGAGATCATTTATCCCCAGGATGACTTGAGTCTGGAACACATTCGTACAGCATTACAATGTCAACGTGATAAGTCAGTTGATCAAATGAAAATGCTGGCCTATAGATTGCTCCAACTTCATCCAGTTCCCTACTTGTATGTTTCATAATATAAATACTTGTATGCTTCATAACAATAAAAATGCTTTCAAATGAGCTGATGTAGGTAACAGCTCTTAGCTTGTGAATAAAGTTAGAAATCCTTAACCTGTAAATAGCTTGTCAATAAAGCTAGGGATCCTTAACCTAAAAGAGGGATAGTGAGAAAGAGGGAGGGGGAGAGAGAGAGGGTATGCGTGGTCAGTTTCCACGAGTCTGCACCAGCCTTCTAACCTCGCTACTTTAAGTTAAATAAAATAGGTCATGCTGTCAGACTTTTGGGGCTATCCTAGGTTCTCCACATGCATGCTGCTATGTACTATGCCTATGCCTATGCACCTATTCATGTATAACTGAAGCTATGCTTACTGAATAAACCATGCTAGTGTTAGTTGTCTGACCTTAGCGCCTGTGCACGCACTACAGTGCCTGTGGTCCCCACACTTAATTCCCTCCCCAATTCTACTCCTGAAGTGTCTCCTGGTGTCGCAAAATATTCGAAAACAAAAATAAATTTCTTATGAAAATGTTAATATTATTTTTCTGATTGTTTTAGTCCAAAAAAAAAAAAATTTCCCATCAGTACTTACCCAGATATAGAGGCATGAAGTCTGCAGAAAATGAGCCGCATATGGCAACAGCGGCGACTGCCGCTCACCCGGTAAACTTTGGTTTACTTGTATTTGAAGGTTTGTTGTTTTTTTCACTATTTTATTTTTTCACATAACTTATGTGGCCTGTGAGACCAAAGTAAGGTGCAATGTACATATATACACTCGTTGTATACAACACAATAAGCACACAAACATAATTATTAATATATTGTTTACAAAACTTGTTTACAATAACAATACAAAATTTTTTTTATTACTATTGTTCTATAATATATATACCAATATAGTCCCTGGACATATTCCTAGAAGTTCTGCAGCTTGTGTAACTCTTTGAAACATGGTGTCATACACAATGGTGTTTTACACTCCTCACACATAAAACCAGTGTGTGTGCATTTTTGTGGAAGTTTTCTTTTATGTGCAAAGACAAAACACCTCGTCTGAGCAGTTTTCTTCAAAGCATTAGCAGGCAGTTGTGTTATGTAGTTATCCTAGGTAAATGGTTGTGTGTCATCATTCCTTCCTGCATTCCTTTCCTGCATTCCTTTCCTACCTTCCTTCCTACATTCCTTTGTCTTTCCTTACTTTTTTCCTTCCTTTCATCTCGTCTTTCCTTTATTTCTGCCTTCCATTCTTCCTTCTGGTTTCTATAATATATATATATACACATATATAGTCACTAGATACTTTCATATAACTGCTATTATCTCCATTCAGCAAGCTTGTCTTGTGTGTGTGTGTGTGGCTTATAATTGTTTTGAATCAGGAGTCTGCAGCTGTCAAAATGACATATTGTCTCATTACTCATTCCCCCTACCGCCTGTCAAAACAATGGGGTCGGATGCTGCCTCCCCTCCATTCTATCTAATTATCTTTCTCCCTCATTCTATCTCTTTCAATCTGTCTCTCTCTTTCTCTCTGTCTATCTCTGTCTCACAGGTACACATAAATACAAGTATACATAGTGCAAATTACCTAGGATAACCCCAAAAATCCAGACAAAGTGCTATACTCTGCTTGAGGATGCGAGTAAAGGTGATGATGCAGTCTTGTGGCTTTCTCTGAGACAGAGAGCTAGACTGATAGACAGAGAGCTTGGCAGACAAATAGACAGACAGAAATGTTTGTGTACCAGCAAAAACAAAGGGAGGGGGATGGTCATCTAATCTTTTCTCATCAGCTGCACCCTCCCTCCACCCTCCTTTACGTTCATCAAATGTCAGCTCTTATCAGATGTTATCTCCCCTTATCTTGTCAGTGTCATGGGGTGAAATGTTTTTCATGCTTCAAGGGATCATCATCATCATCATCCACATCATCATCCACATCATCATCCACATCATCCACATCCACATCCTCCTCCTCTCATCCTCCTCTCCTCATCCTCTCATCCTCATCTCATCATCTTATCCTCATCCTCGTCTCATCCTCATCTCATCCTCATCTTCATCCTCATCTTCATCTTCCTCTTCCTCATCTTCCTCATCTTCCTCTTCCTCATCTTCATCTTCCTCATCTTCATCTTCCTCATCTTAATCTTCCTCATCTTCATCTTCCTCTTCTTCCTCTTCCTTCTCTTCTTCCTCCTTCCTCTTCCTCCTCCTCTTCTTCCTCTTCCTTCCTCTTCCTCCTCCTCTTCTTCCTATTCCTTCCTCTTCTTCCTCTTCTCTTCCTCTTCCTCCTCTTCTTCCTCTTCCTCCTCCTCTTCTTCCTCTCTTCTTCCTCTTCCTCCTCCTCTTCTTCTTCCTCTTCCTCCTCCTCTTCTTCCCTCCTCTCTCCTCTTCCTCCTCCTCTTCCTCATCCTCCTCCTCTTCCTCATCCTCCTCCTCTTCCTCCTCCTCCTCCTCTTCCTCCTCCTCCTCTGCTTTTGGTCTCAAACTCCTCGAAATAATGAAATTGATCTTCACTGACACTTCCATCTGTGTTAGAGCATCACTTGGGAAGAGAAGAGTCCCAGATTTGCTGGGGAGTCACATATTTCTTACCCCTAGACATGCTGAAAAAGGACGACTGAAATGGCATTCCCACAATGCACCACTGGCTCCCTGATTTTTTTTTATATGGTATACACTGACCATGGAGACTCATTCTCTCACATGTGGGCCTACCAGCTTTCTCCTGCTTGATTTGAAGCCGCTAGAATTTATGCGTATAGATACATCAAACACGGTATCTCCTGTGTGTGTGTGTGTGTGTCTGTGTGTATTTGTACTCACCTAGTTGAGGCTGCGGGGGTCGAGTCCGAGCTCCTGTGTGTGTTTGTGTGTGTGTGTGTGTGTGTGTGTGTGTGTGTGTGTGTGTGTGTGTGTGTGTGTGTGTGTGTGTGTGTGTGTGTGTGTGTGTGTGTCTGTCTGTCTACTTGAGGTTTGGGGGATTGTATTTGAAAAACTAGCAGCTCACCAGAGGACGGCAATGGAGAAGGCTCATCAAAAATGATTTTAAACAAATAAACAGTCTAATTCATGTGTACAAACTGCAACTAATAACATGTTATATGAGGAGGTCAAGAATACGTATGGGAATTAAAGACGATAGGAAAATGATCACTGTCATGTAAATCTGGGACAACAGACCAGGTAACATGGAGTGCAGTTGAAGAGGAGCAAATAGAGAGATCTATTCAAGAAAGACTGAGTGTGAGGATCAAAATGAAGGGAAAGAGAAGAAAGCCTCTCACCGGTCATCATGAGTCACAGGGAGATCCTTCCCAGAGGAAATGATGAGCATAAAAATTGCCTAATAAAGGTGGAGGTAGGGAAGAAACCAGAAATTCAACATCAGAAATGGATGGTTGAAAAAGATACAAAGAGCAGACTGTATACCACTTGTTCAAGTAGATATGGGCTGCAGTGTAAAGCAGTGAAGTATGAACAAAGATCTGAGTGTGGTAAAATGGCATACAAAAAGTGCACTTTCATTAAATTTCCCACCAGGAAAAGGAGTGGATGAAAGCAATAAGCAATAGTCCAAGATGGGATGAATAACAAAGGAGTGCAATTTTGGCTCTTGTAAACAGACACAAATGGGAAAACCGGGAAAGCAACACCTGAAGCTCACCCTGGCTAAACAAAGCTTCGAATATTACACTCTAATTAAATCATATTTTGTGAAGAGAAGTAAACTGGTAGTGTCAGTAAAGTCTACATGTGGAGACTAGTAGGAGGTTGGCTACAGGATGGAGTGATAGGGTCAGGAGCACCACAGACCAGGCACTCTGCCATCAACCTGCAATTTTTGCCAGGTGGGAAAAGTCCCACAATTTCTACATTGTTGCAACAAAGATATAAATTCCCATACTTGTTAGTGGCATCTTGCTATATAAACAGATGATGGAAGTTCAGAGCAGTCATAAGTTAACTTGGCTATAATACAAGGATAGTGTCTCCATCCAGGGGCAGGTAGTATATAAGTGTCAACCTCAAGAATTGGGAGGTAATGGAGTTTGAGTTGCTCTATAATGTCTGTACACACATTAGGAAACCACACTGAGCTAAGGTATGTTGTAAAACAAGTTCTACTGCAAGAATTGAAACATGTTTATGAATTGTGACAGTAGTATTGTTAGTGATGGTAAGGGAGATAATGAGCTTGTCCACCATTGTGCACTGTGACAATCTGCACACTACTCTTGACAACATTAAACATTTTATCCAACATGGTAAAGGAGTGCTTTGTTGATGCCATAGCCTAAAACTTCTCCAAAAACGATGTTTGTTTTTTAGTGTTTCTGTCGTTTGCTATGTAATATGCTCCCACTATCTTCTGTCTTTCAAGCAGACCCAAAAATACTTCCCTACTTTAATATCAGTGTTGGTAGAGCAAGAAATATTAGTGCATACAACATGACACCACCTCTGGGAGAGCTTTCTATCTAGTATGACTTCTCATGTGACTTTCTAATTGAAATCTTTTAGTAAAGTCTTTCAGACATTCTGAACACTGATATGGCCTCTCCCCAGTGTGAGTTTTCATGTGTCTTACTAAATGAGAATTATTAGAAAAGTCTTTCAGACATTCTGAACATTGATATGGCTTCTCTCCAGTATGAGTTCTTATGTGTCTTACTAATCTTGATTTTCTGGAAAAGCCTTTCAGACATTCTGAACACAGATATGGCTTTCCTCCAGTATGAGTTCTCATGTGTCTTACTAAATTTGATTTCATATAAAAGTCTTTCAGACATTCTGAACACTGATATGGCTTCTCTCCAGTATGAGTTCTTATGTGACTTACTAAATATGATTTTCTAGAAAAGCCTTTCAGACATTCTGAACACTGATATGGCTTCTCTCCAGTATGAGTTCTTATGTGACTTACTAAATATGATTTTCTAGAAAAGCCTTTCAGACATTCTGAACACTGATATGGCTTTCCTCCAGTATGAGTTCTCATGTGTCTTACTAAATTTGATTTCATACAAAATTCTTTCAGACATTGTGAACAATGATATGGCTTCTCTCCAGTATGAGTTCTCATGTGAATTGCTAAATCTGATTTTGTAGAATAGTCTTTCAGACATTCTGAACACCGATATGGCTTCTCTCCAGTATGAGTTCTCATGTGCCGTAGAAAGTAATACTTTTCAGAAAACTCTTTTAGACACACTGAACATTGAAAAGTTTTTTTGCCTATATTAAATTTGGTCAGATATCCACGCTGAGGTTGTTGTGAAGATTGTTTGAGTGAGTGTGAATGTTGCTCTAATTGATCTCCTACACGAACATCTGTACATTGTGTTGCTTCAACATATTGTTTTTCATGTGAATGTTGATCTAACTGGTGTCCTACATGAACAACTGTACATTCTGTTGCTTCAACACATTCTTTTTCAGGTATTTTAGACATATTGAACAATAAGTTTTCACATATTTAAATTGTTAAACCAGTGGAGATTTGAGAATATTATATTACACAGAAAACTAATATTACTGTATTATTCTATTATAAATATAGCAAGCACTAAATGTGTAAGAGTGTCTGAGGAATAAGAAGGATGACACTAGCAGATATTTATGACACTTGTTGGCACTGTAAGTGTTGTATTACCAACACTGTTGTAACAGTATTGTCGCTGTATTAACACTAGTCAGTGCTTCACTGAATTACGTTGTAGTTATTGTTGTCACTGCATAAACATCATAATCAGAGATGTCACTGTATTAGCACTGTAGTTTGTGTTGTCACTATATATACTGTTACGCCTGGTCACTTTCCACATTACTGAGCCGATATCACTTAATATCATATTGCGAACTTCCTTATTAGTAGCTAAAATAAACAAGTCCGACTGTATAATATTATCTATGGCCAACATAAATTACTTAACGGAATCATGTAAAATTATTGTATATTCTTAATGGTTTTAAAATCTTTTGTTAGGTGTAACAATGCAAGTTGTCAAGCATTAGTGTAATGACCAGTCTCTGGTTAACCCGAGCTACCTCGAAGTATGTAATGTGACCTGCCTTATGTCAGGTCACTCCTCCTGACTACTGGCAGTGGCAGCTGGTCTATAGCTCAAGGTGCATTGTTTGGAAGTCATCTGTTGTAATAGAGCTGTATTCCCTTGGATCATACTTAAGAAGGTGCTCGTGGGGGACTTGGGATGTATATTACATCCCAAGTCCAATATCTGATATATATTCACCGGTGTTCTGAACTTGTAACTTTACTCGTGTGAATGGAAATGAAACCTTAAGGTCATGTACACAGTTCTCTGTAAATATTCTTGCACTCATAAGATACGAGAGAAAAGCTAATAACTTTTAAGTGATATGTTCTAAGGAACATAAATTTTTCTTGTAATTCTTGACTCCCTATGAAAAGTAGTTAGAAATTCATGAACTTATTGCACCTTGACATCCTGTAAAGTGAAAAAGAGTATAAGAGGGCAATAATACATTACAGTACTGTATTTACAGAACTTACAGGAGTTTTCTGACACTGATGTTGGTACTAAATGTGCCAACTTCTTGTACCAGGATGACCTGCAGTATTTACACTAAAAGTACTGCCTTCTTGTACCAGCAGTATTGACACTACAAATGCCAACTTCTGGTACCAGGATGACCTGCAGTATTGATACTACAAGTGCCAACCTCTTGTACAAGGATGACATGCAGTATTGACACTACAAGTGCCACCTTCTTGTACCAGGATGACCTCCAAGTATCAAGATGACCTGCAGAATAAAATTGAAAATTTATAGTCTTTCATTATAATCATTATAATTAATAGAATTATTATTTTAAACACACCAGCCATCTGCCACTAAGGTAAGGTGCATGGGGTTCATCTACAGTACATCACCTCAGACCCTTAATAACCCAACAAAAAACAGTAGTCTGATTGATAAATTCCAACTCAAGACAGCATACTCCACCACTAATCAACAGTCTTAACTTACTCAATATATATAAAACACCCACACTTTTTATTGTGCCTACTACATACATAGGACACTGCACTCTAATATAAACCCTCCTCTTAACCCTTTGGGGGTCAACAGGCCCTCTCAGAAACTTGTTCTCAGGGTCGGCCAAACTTCAAAAAAAAAAAATTATTGTTTTTCTTGTGAAAAGATAATCTTTTCCCGATCATAATGACACCAAAAGTATGAAATTTGATGGAAAACTTAGGAAATTATGCTCTCGCGAAGTTAGTGGTCTTGCCGATGTTTACGCATCGGCAATTTTGCCCACCTTGAGCCCTATTTTCGGCCAATTCTAGTGTACTAGTTGACAAAAATCATAACTATTTCGCTAGAACTCCATTTTTTCTATCGAATAAGTACAAGAAACCACCCATTTACCGATTTCAACTATCTGATAAAATGGTCAGAATTTAGCAATTTTGCCAATTTCACACAAATTTCAAAAGATGCCAATTTCCGAATAGGGTTCAGAATAAACAAGAAAGACATTCCTGGCACTAAAATAACAAGTTCTCTGTTCGTTAGTCACATCCCCAGGCCCCTCTTATATTTCTTTGGCTTTCCACTTTGAATTTTTACTCTTACAAAATACGATTTACTGTTATGCAGACTACTGCATTAGTGTAGAAATGGTATAAATAATATCAGTGCACTTGTGAAAGAATATTAGACTCACCAGTTGATGTGTATTGGATGCACAGCATGATTTGTTTACTTTTGAACTTTGGTAAAAATCGAACATTTCTGCTACTTTGAGCTCAATTTCAAGGTACTTTTCATTGTAAAACCAGTCAAAATCATCTCAATTTCTCTAATATGTCTTCCATTCTATAAAATGAGACCAAGAAAACTAGAATACAACAATAAATACAGAATACACACCCATAATACACTGATATCCCTTGTGTCCATCTCTCCCTATGCAAAAATGCTATGCATATAAATGGCCCTAAAATTTGGAATTCACTGCCAGAGAACACTAAAGAACCCCTGTCTGCAAATCAGTTCAAGATTCTTCTCAGAAATCACCTACTCACCCAAAACTAAACAGCTTTCAGGCTGCTTTCAAATTCACCTCCATTACCACATACTGTGTTAAGGATCAGTGTGTCACTCACCTAGACCTCAAAACTTTAAAAACAGATGCTCAAAGTTCATTACATTACTTAATACTACATTGTAAAAAATCAATACCTGCACAAAATTTTTCTGACTTATACTCAATGTAAAACTCATATTTAAATACTTTCACATGCCTTGAATATTCCATATTTAATTAAAGTTTTTTACTGTGATATAACCAGTATACTATTTCAACTTGCATGTAATAATCCTTTTTGTAATTAATCATTTATGTTTGTATAAAAACATTTACAACTTTAACAAACTATGAGCCACTGTCTAGTATTAAGTAGCCTGTAACCCATAAATTAGTCTGCCAAATGCCTAGCATGAGGTGGTTTTTGCACTGCAAAACATTAGTTAATTACATATAAACCTATACTAATTAAATACATTCCACCGTAAAAGTCAATCACTGTAAACTTGCAAATAAATAAATTTGAATTTGAATTTGAATAAAAAAGAAACATTTCTTATCACTAGCTCTCATGTATGAGCGAACTGATATACAGTTTGTCTAGTCAAATGCAATAGCCTCAACCTTCCTTTGAGTGCAGCACTGTACTCCCACCACAGCCCTCGCTAGAGTGAAGCACTTTACTTTGCCACCACCACACCATTACTGTAATTACACTATGTAAACTATCTATGTAAATACGACTCCACCCTACAACATGTCAATCACTGTAAACTTGCAAATAAATAAATATTTGAATTTGAATTTGAATAAAAAAAGAAACACTTTCTTCATCACTCACTCAATCACTGTCTTACATGAGGCGAGCTGATATTACAGTTCCGATGTCTATCCAAACTGCAAATATCTCCACCCTTCCTGCAGAGTGCAAGCACTGTACTTACCACCACCACCCCTCCTTCAGTGCAGGAACTGTACTTCCCACCTCCACCCTCCTTCAGAGTGCAAGCACTGTATTTCCCACATCCAGGTCTCAAGTCCAATTAACTGGTTTCCCTAAATGTCTTCACAAATGTTATCTTGCTCATGCTCCAATAGCATGTCATGTTCAAAAAACATTTGCCTTTACAACATGTTCACACATGCCTGCTTGGTGTCCAAGCCCCCTTGGACACAAAACCTCCTCTACCCCTTCCTTCTAACTTTTCCTTGGATGAGTCCTACCCTGCTTTCCCTCCACTATAGATTTATATGCCCTCCAAGTCAACCTATTTTGTTCCATCCTCTCTTAACCCCTTCAGGGTCCAAGGCCAAAATCTGAAGTGGTGCTCCAGTGTCCAAGAAATTTTGAAAAAAAAAAAAAAAAAAAAAAAAAAAAAAAAAAAAAAAAAAAAAAAAAATTCTTACAGAATTAAAGAGCATATTTTTGTGAAGGTAATAAGACCAAAAAAAAAAATTCTGATCAGTACTTACCGAGATACAGTGCCAAGAAGTTTGTCCAAAATGATGTGGTGGCGGCAACATCGACGAATTCCACATACGCGCATTACATTATTTAGCGGTTTTTATAGTTTTTTCTTTTCTTTTCCAATTTTTTTTCTTTTCCTACTATCATTTGGGGCCTGAGAGACCAATACTGTATATAATGTATACAGGAGGGCCCCACTTATATGGCGGGTTAGGTTCCAGGCTACCGCCGTAAAGCGGAAACCGCCGTAAAGTGGAACACCCTTTTTTTCCACTTACAAATGCATACAAACACTAGATAACAAGTTTACACTCACATATATTATGTTAGCAATAGAACCAGGCATCAAAAAACAATAAAAAAGTACAATACACACATAGTGCACTCATTACTTACCTTAAAATATTTATAGTCTTAATCTAGGGTGAGACAAGTAGTATTTATTGTAAGAAATCAAGTGTGGTATGTATGGTAGTCAGCCAGGCTACCATACCAGGCCACCCCACCCACACATACTATTCTATGATATTTAAGCATCCCAGAGCGATAAAATGTATATACAGTTCACTCATTACTTACCTTAAAATATAGGGTGAGATGAGTAGTATTTATTGTAAAAAATCAAGTGTGGTATGTATGGTAGTCAGCCGGGCTACCATACCAGAGAGAAAGAATGAGTGCATGAGAGAGGACAGGCGCAGAGTTATGTAAACAAACCAGGCGAAGGTAAGTTTTGTAAACAGTGTACACGTCTGGTTTGTGTACAAGTTACATTGTGTACAGGTTGTCTCTACATTGATACGGTAGAATAAATAAAGAAGAACATTCCCATTCTCATGTAACATCATTTTGAGAAGAAATGATGCTCTGAGTGAAGGCAATGGAAGTAAGTCACTCTGACTTTTTTGGGTTATCCTAGGTTCTCTACACATATGTTGTTATGTATTTATGTTATGTATCGTGTTTATTATATAATTTCGAAAAAAATATCACTGATGGATTAATGAAAATGTGTATATTAACGTAATATACAACATTTAATGATACACCGAGCTCAGACAGCGTAAATAAACAAACTGAACAGGTTGTGGACGATCACTCGGTCAGGCGAAATAGACGGTATTAATACGTGTCCAGTTTTAGTTCATTCATGTACATTTGTAAGAGTTTGTGAAACTTTTACCTTATAATATTTTTATTATTATTATAATAATTAAATCACGAAACAAATACTCTTACACTGTGTACAAGTTAGTACAGAATTATAGCTATAAAGTGAAGGCATACGAAAGGAATATTTTTCTACAGTTATCCCTAGTAACAGGTGACGGGCTAGAGAAAACGTAATTCTTCCGACACTTCTACAAACCGTTTGGTAAACATCTCATATATATTTGTATAAATTTTTATACTGTGGGTGCATGTATCATGTTTGTGTGTTACATAATGTGTTTCTTATATAATTTTGAAAAAAATATCATAGATTAAGGGAAATGTCTATATTAACGTAATATGCGACATTAATGGCCCAAGAGATTATTAAATTTTTACTATTATTATTATTTATTATTATTATTGCATCAAGAGTAGAGACACTCTTAGTGATTTTAATGTGTACCTACATGCCAGCACAGTGTGTAAGTTTATTTAGGTACAGGTGTACACAAGTTTAATTATCAAGTACAATACATATAAAATATACAATAACTTTAAAACACTTGAAATTTTGGAAAGTTTCCAGACATAATAAGGAGATGTGCTCAGGGAGAATGTAAACAAACTCGGTGGGCCACTGTGACCGTATTAGAAAGACAGGTGGGGGGAGCCGTATAGCGAGTTTTGGTCATAATTTGAAATGTCCGTATTAGTGGAACGCCGTAAAGTGAAACGCCGTAAAGCGGGGCCCTGCTGTATATATAAACTCACTGTATTGAACACAATAACTGCAGTAAAGTTATTATCATATTATTGTTTACCACTGTTGTTTATTACAATAAACATGCACAAATCTTGTATAATACTAATGTTCTATCATATATTTACATATTTACAATCACTGGACATGGTTTTAGAACTGCTGGAGCTTGTGGAACTCCTTGAAACAAGGCACCATGCACAGAGGCACCTTACATTCCTCACACATAAACCGAGTGTCTTTGCGTCTTTGTTGCCATCGTTTTGTTTGTGCACAGACGATGCATCTCTTCTGAGCAAATTTCTTTTGAGTTGAAGGAAGCTGTA